GAGCAAAGGGGGAAAAGTTGTGATACGTCATGTGACAACAACATGACATCACGAGTTTGGCACCCCTGGTTTAGAGCATTCATCAATGTCAAAGACACTCTCTCTTCTGTATCATTCTGCTTCCGGCCAAAGCAAGACCACAAGTTTGACAGACATCCTGCTTTATTAATGGGACCTGTAGGACTGCCTACAGTTGGAGGTACTGACGTTTTGAGCTACACAGTGTACACAGTTATGTACAATTCCACCAAAGAGCATCTCCTAAAATTGGCATATCCTTGTAGATATTGGTTCAGATCCTGTAGAGAGAGGCTAAGTCAAAACCAAGTATGGAAGGAGTTCAGGGGATGATCTTAATTATAGTTAAGATGCAGTAATAGAATCTGAAAAGCCTGCCCAAGTTTTATTCTGTCCCATCTAATACTAAACACACTTAAGGTGGGGTTATCTTGAGTTTCTTTCTCATGGCCTCCTCTGTGTAACCTTTTCTGTGAGTCCCACCTCAATGGCTTGTCCCGGCTTTCCTGAAAGTCAGCTCTATATTCCTTCACAGATGTATAGAATGGGAGTAGGAATTTCTGTTATACCCTAAAATTAAGAGGTGTGCAGAAATGAACTTTGAGCAGAACAATAAAATGTATTACCTCTATCTGTACATTTGACAAAAGAATTATGGCGCTTTAGAGGCTGCCCGAGTTTTTTCCAGGACAAATTTTCTTTCTTCTTCAAGACAAATTCCACTTTTCCCACTTTTTCAGAAATCTGTACTAAAAATATACATAGTATTTGTTCTATAGCAATACATCTACAACATTTTGCACAGGTAATGTAATTTTACAAATTATTACTCATCAGATGCTGGTAGAAGGCAATTTCATTCAGTTTTTTAAAACGGAATGTGTAGTACAGGTAGTCCTTGACTTACGACCACAATTGAGTCCCACACTTTTGTTGCTAAGTGAGATATTTGTTAAGTGAGTTTCACCCCATTTTTGTTGCCACAGTTGCTAAGTAAATCATTGCCATTGTTAAGTTAGTAGCACAGTTGTTAAGTGAATCTGGATTTCCCCATTGACTTTGCTTGTCAGAAGGTCATAAAAGGTGATCGATCACAGGATCCCAGGACACTGAAAAGGTCATAAATGCGAGTCAGTTGCCAACTCTCTGATTTTTTTTCACCTGACCATGGGGAGTCTGTAACAGTTGTTAAGTGAGAAAAATGTCCATAAGTTTTTTTTCAGTGATATTGTAACTTTGAACAGTCACTAAATGAATTGTTTTAAGTTGAGGACTACCTGTATTACTGAATGAAACTTTTTTTATACATACATACATACTTTTTTATACATACATAAATTTTCTGAAAGCACAGTTTTAGAGTTAAGCGGTATTTGGAATAGATATCTTTGCAACGGTAACAGAATACAAATGTATACTATATATATAAATATATGTGTGTGTGTGTGTGTGTGTGTG